AGCCTAAAAGACACAAAGGCAAAGCAGAAGCCCCAAATCTGTGCTATTTACAATTGTCAATATTAACTCAAAATCTAAGTTGACACTACAAAATATGCTTATTGTTTTAATAGGAAACTCACTGTAATAAAATTTTATTATGCTGTACGAAATAACTTCAGAGAACCCTGAAAAACTTACATGAACTATCATATAACAAAATGAGTAGAACCAGAAGACAATTTCTACAGCGACCATTACACCATAATGGAAAACAACTTTGAAAAACTTAAAAACTATGATCAATGCAATGATCAATCATGAATCCAGAAAAATAATGATGAATCATATTGTCTCTTGGCAGATGACAACATACAAGTACAGAATAAAACACACATTTTCAGACACCACCAAAGTGTGGATAATTTGCTTACCTACTTGTGCTTCTCACAAGTTATGAGAACTTCTTGGGAGGAGGGGGAAGGGGCAGGAAATAATAACAGTGATGCAAAAAACAAAAACTTTTTAATAAGGGAAGGAGAGGGAGAAAAATTTAAAACTCAAAATTGTATGGAAGTAATTACTGAAAACTAAAAATAAAATAATAAAAATTTAAAAAAAAAATTTTTTTAATACAGTATAACTGTATCACATAAAGGTTCCAAAGGGAGCTACAAAAAAAAAAAGAGAGAGAGAGAAAAAAACAGGCACTGAAGCCAAGTGGTAGAAGACACTGATGTGTTGAGAAGCACTATGGTATCTTAGAAAAACCCTGGATTTACATTTGCAATTCTCGAGTTTGAATTCCACCTCTGCCACTTACTACCTAGGCTGCTAGGTGGTGCAACAGGTAAGAGTGCTAGGCCTCGAGTCAGGAAGACTAGAGTTCAAATGCATCTATGTGACCGTGGGCAAGTCATTTTAGCTATGTCTGCTTCAGCTTCCTTATCTCTTAAATGGGATAAAACAGCACCTACTTCCCAGGGGCTTTATGCACACAAAACAAAATATTCATAAGGCTCTTTGCAAACTTTAAAGTAATATATAAATGCTATCATTATTATTATTACTTGGGCTTTGGGCAAATTACAGCCTCTCAGGGCCTCTGTTATTTACCTGTAAGTAGGACTGAATGACTTCTGATATCCCTTCCAGTTCTAAATCTAAGACCACATCATGTGTAAGAACGATTAGCATCAGAAAAGGCAGTATAGTCTTATAAAGGAAAAAATACTGCCCAATCAGCATCGCAGATATTGAGCTAGAAGGCATCTTAAGAGACCATCTAATCCTAACCCATTCCAAATTTTACAGGTGAAGAAACTGAGGCCTAAGGATACATAAGTAATCAAGGAGTAGTAGAATCAGTATTTGAACCTAGGTCCTCTTACTTTAATCTGGCAAACTTGCCACTATGGCCCCCTAAATGTTGGGTGTCACAACTTTTCTGAACTTTTCATTTCTTTATCTGAAAAAAGTAATAATAAAACTTCCCTAACTACCTCACCTAGTTATAATGAACAAAGACATTCTAGTCTAGATCAAAGTTACATACTTCCACTTAAGATAATTTCAGAAGTTGAAGGAACTTTCGGCAGTCTAACTCCCTCATTTTTACAGATAAGGAAAGTAAGGCTCAGAGAAATTGAGTCATCCAATGTCTCTGACATAAACATCTTCGTCCAGAGGGGAAGGTGGAACAAAAAAAGAAAGGCTGATGATGTCCCTAAGTATAGGCCTTGCTTGCCTCCATAGGAATGCTACAACCCACCAATGTTTAACCTAATTTTGTCTTACTTGTGATAGAAGTATTCAAAAATGGCTAGTTTCCTTACCCTAAATTGGAACATCCAGTTCCCTGTCCTCAACATCCTATCTTCAGACATCCAGAACACTTCAGTAGTTAAGTGGCCTAAGCTAGCACACACCACTGGTTACTATAATTCAGCTAAGCAAGTTATGTATAACTAGTGAGCTGGGGAGCAGCACACATTTTATATCCTTCTTGTACAAAGGACTTTGTCAGCTAAATTAGTTTGCATATTATAAAAAAAAAATGCTGGGGGCAGCTAGGTGGCTGCAGTAGACAGAGTACCTGCCCTGGAGTCAGGAGGCCCTGAGTTCAAATCCAGCCTCAGACACTTACTAGCTGTGTGACCCTAAGCAAGTCACTTAACCCCATTGCCTAGCCAAAAACAAAAACACTGTGACAGATTAAGTATATCTATGTCCCTGTTCCTTAACATCTCAAATCAAAAACAGTCACCTATAGCTAGTTAAGATGGTATCAGAACTAAGAACACAGGTCTACTGGTGAGTCCAATGTTCTTTTCTACTCTCAAATGCACTATATGGTGGTAAAATAGAAATGTTTAAAGTATTCCTCTACTGCAGATTTAAAGGACTAATAGATTTAATTAAGAGGGAATACTGTGCAAAAAAATGCACTTGAAAATTGCTTCAGGTCTACTATAATTCTAGAATAAGATGTTGGGTCCAGATTTTTACTCAAATGGATGTTAAGCTCCTCACTTTGGTGGTTTCTGACAAGTATGTAAATTCCAACTGATCCATGTTTGTCCCTTATGTACAACTGCCAATCACATCCTCCCATAAGTTTACCAGAAGGTAAACTCCTGAAGACTTTTCTCACTTTCTTCAATCATCAGTACTTAGCAATGCAGAACTTAGGCTGTCAACCTCTTACCCCTCACCCTCTTCAAATGACAAGCCCTTTTCTTTTTGATTATACACTTCTCTAAAAACACCTGTTACTCCTATTGTTCAAAGTTCCTCAACTGTTCTATCTCTAAGCCCATTCAAACCTACTGGGGGGGGGGGCGCGCAAGAATCTCAGCCCTTATTAAAACCACAAAAAGGTGACTAAGGGAACATCAGCAATTACCAACGTATGTGCCTACTTTACATCTATATGAAGTATAAGACTCAAGGGCATACTTGATCACATCCCTACTACCAAAGGAGATAATATGTACAGTGCTTTGGAGACTTTAAAGAACCATATAAATGCTATGATCTACAATTAACTAAAAATGTGGAAAATACAAGATCACAATGTGCTTAGTTTTTCAATTGCAAATGTGTCAATGTGCATATATAAGTTCAATATAACAGTATGCTACCTTCAATGGAATAAAAGACTTTAAAGCATCCTGATGAAAAGACCAGAGCTAAGCATGAACTTTGAAATCCAAAGTTTTCCTGTTAGTCTTTACTTAATTCTATTTTCTTCTATTTGTGTAAAATTATTGGCTCCTATCACCTAATCAATGGCTTATTAGGCGTTAGGAAAACTAAAATTTATATTCAATTGTTTCCAGAGGAATCATCTCATATACATCTGCTCTGATTCAAGCTGATTGTTTTAAAAAGATCCTGGACAGGGGCAGGTGGTACAGTGGATAGAGCTCTGGCCTTGGACTCAAGAAGACCTGAGTTCAAATCTTGCCTCAGACACATGACACTTACTAGCTGTGTGACCCTGGGCAAGTCACTTAACCCCAACAGCCTCACCAAAAAAAAAAAATAAAAAGCAAAAAGTAAAATAAAATAAAAAGATCCTGGACCATTTTCTAACTATAGTTTTTTAAAGATATCGCACTTTATGAGCCATTTAAAGTTTTTTTTATTCTGAACTTTAAAAATGTCTATTTCAATATACAAAATAGAACACAAAGAGGATTTTAACAATAAATCTTTATTCCCATACCACTTTCTTTAAAGTCTGTAATAATTTTCAACATGTTTTACTTCCAAAGCTGTCATGCTTGTTTTGTACTTCCTTCTGTTCTCATTTTAAAAAGATGTCTAAATGGCCCCTTTAAATCTTTTTCTTTTCTTTTGGAATCATTCTAACAAACCCACCCACTCCCCACAACACCCCTATCACAAATAGAGAAAAACAAAAAACAAAAGCCAATTCACGCGGCCATATCCAAAAAAGTTTCTTCCAACACCTTGAATCCATCAAGGTACATAATATGATTCATCATAGTTCCTCTGGAGACATTTAGAGGCATTAGAGAACTGAAGTCCAAAAGGTTACCAAGAGGTAGGATAGGGATGCAGAAAGTTAATGAGAGAGTGCAAAATACTGTTCATCTGTTTAAAATTTTGCAAAGGTTAGGCCCCTAAAAGAAATAAAATTATTCTTCCTTCTCCTTGCCCTCATCCATGGCAGGCCTGAAAACCTAACCATGAATTTCAAACATCGTTTTTGAGTTCCAAACAGCAAACTTCCAAAGCAACTTTATGAATTGGGGGCTACTCTCAGTTACGAAAGCTCGTTCTTACAATAATTTACTTCTATGCACAAGCTGAGCAACGAATTTATGGGAGACATAGGAATCAAACTACGAGAAAGAAGCAGATGAACTGTGGTGCCAAGGTTAACCACTACCCAAGCCAAGAAGCAGAAGAAACCATTTACTTTCACACAGCTGTGCCCGCAAAGGAAGCAGACTACAAAGCCAGGGAATCGAGTTTCTACCCGGAATGTAAGCTCCCAGCCCCCAGGCTACACGAACAGGCTTCCTCTAGGCCTCGGGCAGCCAAGAAAAGTCTTTGCACGAGAGAGGTAAACTTTAACTATTACGTATCTCTGACATACTGTTTTCTATCCCGTGGGTACGACAGGAAGGGGGAGGGGGAAAGGGAAAGGAGGAAGGGGGGGAGGGGAAGTCTCTAGCTCGGGACCCCCAGCACCTGCAACCTTTCCTAAAGGGGAGACTGCTGAAGACCCCAGCCCCAGGTTCGGCCTGGGCTCCCGCCCTCCCCTTCTCGGGCCTCAGGACGCAACCCAAGCCTGTGACCAGCCCCCGCCCCCGGCCCCAGTGCGGTCAAGCTAAGGACAAAGACGAGCTTCCGGCTCCTCTCCGCCACCCCACGGCCCAGAGCGGAGGGACGGGATGGCAAGAGGCCTAACTCTAAGTCTCCTGCTCGCGACTCCGCAACCGGCCTCCCACCAACCGCACCGCGCCTCGCCCCCTCCCCTTCCTTACTGTGCGGAGCGCGCGCCACTTCCACTTCCGCCGCCTCCCAGCGTCCACTTCGGCTCCTCCTCCTCTCGCTCCTCCTCCCCCGCCCTCCCTCGCTGTGCGCGACTCCAACCGCAGGCACACTCCCGCTTCCCCGACCCAACCAAAAGCCCCGGAGCGTGCTACCAAGGAAAAGGGAGAGGCGCCGAGGGCCGAGGGGAGGAGTGTCTCTTCTAGGCCATGCTAGGCCACGCCCCCCGCGAAGCGGGGCCGGGCTCTGATTGGCTGCGCTGAAGTCGCCCGAGCCTAGCAGAGCCGAGGTTGGAGTCTGGCCGGAGGCTGGGAGCGGGCTCAGCCCAGCCTGCGAGGTTTGGCGTGCGGGCGTTAGGTGGAAGCTTTCGTTTCATCCTCCCCGCCTCGCTCTGCCGGCAGCATGTCTCAGGTACTAGGCATCCAGCCAGGCTGGACAGCCGGGGATCGCCGAGGAGACGGTGGGAGGGGAGACGGGACCTGGGTAAGAGGAGCTGACTGCGAGAGAGTAGAGTGCTGGCTGTCCACCCCACCCCCCACAAGGGCAGAAATTGGTCCCAGAACTGCCGCCTCCTGTCTTCCCCAGCCTTCCCCCTGGCCGCCCTCCTTCTCTTCCTGGTTTCTTTTTAAGTTAGGGTTGTCCGTGGGCTGTCGCCTGTTTCCTCCCCAGCGGTCAGCCCGAGTTGTTCGTTCCCCCTGGGCAGTGAAGGGGCCCTGGGGAAAGAAGGAAGGAGAACCGTGGAGCTGGAAGAGATCTTACAAGAACCCAGCCCCTTAATTTTGCCGATGAGGATACTGAGGACCAGAGAAGGGAAGTGACTTGCAGTCACACAGCAAGTCAAGCGTCTGAACTGGGACTCCTAGCTCCTGAAGCCGAAGTTTCTTTCCATCGTCCCGGGGATCCTGGAGGGCTTAGGAGGAGAATAAGGGAGGTGGGAGGAGGGAGGGTTGCAGAGGGGGTCCATACACTGGTGAGGACAAGGAAGCATTCTGGGGGCAGTGAGCCAAGGGGCAGGTTGTGCTGGCTGGAGTGGGGTGAAAAGGGTTTGGTTTTGTCTAAAGTAGAGGGAGTGATACCTTTTGGGAAAGCGATGTCGAAAAGGAATGGCAAGCCTGCCCTGGGAGAAGGGACGCCCAGGATTTGAGCCTCAGCTCACACTCCCCTCCTTGCCCAGCAGAGCCCCCTGGGGCAGTAGGACAAAGTTCGTCTGTGTGTCTGAGTGCTTCGCCCCTGTCCGGCCCTGGCGTAGGGGGAGCTCTCCAGCTGCCTTCTCTGAGTGTAGCAGATGGACATCTGCTGCTTCATCGCGCACTGGCCTCCTCTCAGCTGCCTCTCGTGGCTCCATTCTTCCCCTCGAAACCTCAGCTCCATCCCACTCCCCACCCTTACAAATCCAGCTCTCACTCTCTAGTATATTGACCATACAGGACTTATCCAGGCCAAGGCTGAAAAAAGTTGGATTGACAACTTCTGAGTGATTGTTCTCAGTGAATAAAGTGTTCCCTAATTTAGGATCGGGACCTTAAAAGATCACCTTATACAACCCCCCTCCTCTTACAGATAGGGAAATTTTGTACAAAGGATTTGACCAAGGTCATACATGGAGGTCAACAGCAAAACTGGGGTTAAAATTCAGTTTCTCTGACTAAATCAGGTGGTCTTTCCACTACACCTTTTTTTTTCCCTGAAAACTGTTGGCAGAGCTAACATGTGCCCGAAGGTAAGAGTTAATTTTCTCCTTCCTTTCTTCTCGACAATTAGGCTGAATTTGACAAAGCTGCAGAAGAAGTCAAAAACCTGAAGTCCAGACCAGATGACCAGGAGATGTTGTTTATCTATAGCCACTACAAACAAGCCACAGTCGGAGATGTAAATACAGGTACTGATGGATGTAATTGGAGGGTTCTGCATTAATGGAAAGTTGGTTATTGACAAATAGGGTAATTTTGAATTAATGATGAGACAACTTAAGCTGTGGAAATAGTCTTGTTCCTTTCAAAGTAATTGCTGGCCCATATGTTCAGTGTAGTACTTATTAAGAACTCATATTGTGGATTGGTTTTAAGCTAAAAGAGGATGAAGAGACTTCATGAAATAATCATTACATTTCTGTGGCATTAGAGACTGTACAGTTCTCCAAAAACCTAAATCAGTGTCTCCATGGTAAAAGTAGCATAAAAATGATAGAGCTAGAAAAGAACCTTGGATCTAGCCTCATTTGCCCTTAGGAATCTAGCCTCATCTGCTCATCTCACATTCCATTTCCTAGAGGCCTGGGGAAGTAAGATCACACAGCTAGTTACTGAAAGAACCCAGGCAAACTGGCTTGTCCTGTAGTTTCAGAATTGAACAGAATCCCATTCTGAGCAAATAGTAAGCATTTGTTAAGTGCCTACTGTGTGCCAGGTCCTATGCTAAGCTGGGGATACAAAAAAGACGAAAGAGGGTCCTTGCCTTCCTGGGGCTTACAGTCTAACAGAGGAGATGACATGTAAACAAATACATACAAAGCAAGTTATATACAGGATGAATAAGAGATAACTGAGGAGAGGCACTGGAATTAAGAGGGCTGGGGAAGGCTTTTAGAAACTAAGCCAGGGAGGTCACTGGTGGGAGCATTTGAAGGCTAATAAGAAAATCCATCCTGATAGCCAACAGGAGCTCCCCTCTCTTTTTGTCTTGAGGATAGGATTAAAGATTTCGATTTGGAAGGTTTATCTAGTTTATCTGAGCAAATAGCAGATCAGGATTTGGAGCCACATTTGACTCAAAATCCATCATTCTTTCTACATTACTACCCTGAGGGTAAAACTGGAGCAAGAGAAGCAGAGAGCCCAGATTATCCATCTTGTGAAACTTAGATTTAGACTCTTCAGAGACTTTCGTAATTGAGAGTTTCCAGAGTAGGAAAGAAAAAGGGGAGCGTTACAGAACAAATATTTCTGATATCTCTCACTACCTTTATCATCTTCTTTTCTTGACTCTCAGCAGTACCCTGATTTGTCCTTTCATGCTTTCACAGAAGATGATGTGTGACAAGGAAGGATTAGAAGGCAGCACTTGGTATTAAAGATACTGATCCCAGGAATATTTGCAAAATATCAGAATGTTCTTTGGACTTATATCTTGGCCAGTGAAACCTTACAGTTTGTTGGCTTTGTAGCATAGACTAGCCATTGTTGTGATAAGACCTTTGCCTTGAGGAATCTTGATTTGCTCCTGAATCCCTCCTTGATCAGTGGGTGCTATTTCAACAAAGTTGCATCCTGAAGCTAGAAAGCTTAGTAATTTGGTTTTGGCAGTCAAGACAATTTAGGGGAGGATCTTTCTAGAACAGCAGCACCTGAGCTCCAATAATTTCCTCTTCCTTATAGAGAAACTACTTCTAGTAGATCTCATTTGGGTGTCTGTTGTGTGCCCAGCACTGTGCAGGACACTAGGGAAAGAAGACAAGAAGAAAAAGGTATAGTCACTACTTTTAAGAACCTTATAGTCCAGTTGGAGACTTAGACACAAAATAAGATGTTCTGAAAAGAACACTAGACCTGAATTCAGAAGACCTGGATTCATGTTCCAGGGCAGCTACTTCCTAGCTGTGTAACCTCAGACGAGTCATTTAATTATTCTGAGCCTTAGTTTCTTTACTCATTAAAATGTGGATATTTGCACACCTAAGGATCAAATAAGGTAACGTACAAATGAAGTAAACTAGAATGTCCCTTCTCGCTTTTAGGTAGCATGGTAAAGAAGAAAGGGATTTGGAGTCAAGGGGAGAGGAGTTCAAATCCAGCTTTGCTTAATTTTTCTGGGTCTTAGCTTGTTAGTATTTTTTTTTGGCTCATTAATCTGTAAAAGGAGGGTTTTGGATTGGATGACTTCTGAGATCCTCTCTTGCTAAAAAGTGTGAATTTTGCAAAGCAGAATCTAATCAAGTGTGATGTTGCATGGTCCAGACAATAAGCATTTCATTTTGAGCCAGGGTAGCCTGGGATAGTTTTGTGCGTGAAGTATTAGGTGGAGTTGGCCCTCCAGAGTTGTCCCAGGAGTGGCAGAAATGCCTTTCCATGGAGAATTCCTTTCCAGAAAAGCACCTGCATGGAGTCCCAAATGGTTAGGGAATGCTGGGACAGTGCTCTGACTCGATGATATAACCAACACTACTCATCTTTTGGTGTTAGACTAGCAATCCCCCTCTACACAAGGCTCTTCTCATTAGCTGTGGTTGAGGGTTACAGTTCCGCATCAGCTTGTAATTGCCCACCCTTGGCCCCTTCCAAAATGTGGGCTGTGCTGGGAGGCACAGCATTTGGTTGTCCCCTTCTTCTGGGATGTGCACTGTCTTTTGAGCCAGGATCCCTTTGATTTGGTCAGCAGAGGAATGAAAACTTAAAAACTTTGAATTTCCTGTATGTACAATCTACTAGTGTGAAGTCAGGATTTACTTCAAAGAAACTTGGGATTAATATTTCATAACACTCTTTACCCCATTTTTGTCAGGTTTGTAAAGGAGGAGTAGTTGGAATCCACTTTAGAGGCTTAAGATTCAGGTGGACTTAAAGCAACAGTTTCCTTTTATCAGGAAAGTTGATGAAAACTTTAGCTCAATTCAGTAGGCACTTACTGATTATGTAGCGTGTGCCTTTTGGATCATAATCCTTCCTCAGGTAACTAACTTTCCTTTTTTTTTTCCCCCCTCCTTCTTTTAAGATCGCCCTGGTATGTTGGACTTCAAAGGCAAGGCTAAGTGGGATGCCTGGAACTCTTTGAAAGGTAATCATCTGTGTTTTAATTAATTAAATCTTGCATAGTTCAGTTCTGAAAGGGAGTTTTCATTAGGCAATATAGATCAACACTTAATAAGAGCATTGGCAAAGAAAATAAACTTCGTGGGACTTGACCCTGAAGTGTTCAAGGAATAAATAGTCACTAACTTCCTGTGATAACTTTTCCCCCTGTGTGGTAGAGAGGAGGTAACTGGGTCACTAGAAGTGTGTTGATAATATCAAAGCCAATGCTATCCACTTGTAGATATTTCTTCCCTAGGATAAAAAGGTGAGCTTTCAACTGGGTAGTGGGGATACACTCATTATTCTCTTGTAACCACCCCCACTACCACCAGTGACAAGACTCCTAGTGGGTAATAGAGACTTACCCAGCAGCATCGACAAGGAAGTGTCCCAGCCCTTGTTTAATCATGTGACTACTAAAAACCTGGCAAAAGAACTGAGGTGCCTGCTGGCCTCTGTGTTCCTGTTCACTCATTCCAGAATGCTGCCTCTATCTTCATACAAATGAGAAGCCTCTGAGCTCAAGAAAGGACTGTAATAAACCTCTAGAATTTTCAAGTAACTGAAAAATGAAGAATAGCCTTCTCCATTATTATTTAACTAATTGTTACTCAGGGGCCCTGCTTCCCTTCATGACCAGTGTGCTGTACCCCCCACCTTCCAAACAGAGTACTGCCCTTCTTCACATGCATAATCCTTGACCACATAGAAGACAAAGATCTGCCTTGTCCCTCTCTAAGAACTGGGTGCTTTTGCCTGAGGGCTTGAACAAGAGCCAGCATCAGTGAAGAAATAAGCTACTAGTTTGGTCTCCCCACTCCCAACTAAGTGACTCTGGGAGGAGTCCTGAAAGGATTGCTTGCCCAGCAGGCCAGACTCAGCTGTGGGAACTTCGGGGTTGGGGGTGGGGTGGGGGTTAGTCACTGTGACTCACTCATGTTAGGTTTTATTGACTGTGAGTGAAACTTATCTTCCAGCAAGTTTGAAGACACATTTAATCAGCCATGCCAGTACAGCATTGCTTGCAGTACAAACAGCTACAATAACATGGGTGCAAACTGCAGATAAGTTGTCTCAGTTTTTTTTTCCTCAGTACCTGACAAAATCTCTGTGATGATTTACAGGAAAATCCAAAGAAGATTCCATGAAAGCTTATATTGCAAAAGTGGAAGAACTAAAAGGAAAATATGGCATATAAAAGAACCTGAATTCAGACATCAGCCATGCTCTCGAAAGCCAAATTAAAATAATGCTTTGATTTCCTAATCCTATGATCAAAGTCAAGCCCATGTAAATAATGTGCAGCAGTAAAAGTTGGCATGGCTCCTCTAGGCCCATCATGTTGCATAGCTGTTGAATTGGAGAGCGAAGCAGTTACCAATCTTGGCTCAGTAGCTTTCTTTAATCTGTAAATCAATAAAGTGCATTTGTTACTTTAAGCCTTGTGGGTGGCCCATAAGTTAAGGGAATCTTACCATCTCTATCCTACACACTTCAGCTTATGCCATTCTCTATTAGGAACTAAGGGAGAAATCAACCTCATTTGTTCAGCAAAGATTTGAGCATTTAGTACAAGCAAGGATCTCTGCCAGTGCCTGCCTTTTAAGGTTTATTACCATCTAATAGGAGAGATAAAAGTATATTAATAGAAGGCAATATGTGAGAAATCTCCTAATAATTAGGACTTACATAGCACATTAAGGTTTGCAGAGGACTTTCTAACTGTCATCTCAATTGATCTTTACAACAACCCTGCAAGATGTTATTTTCCAGGTGAGAAAACTGAGGCAGACAGGTTAAGTGCTCAGGGTTACACAGCTAGGAAGTGTCTGAGGCAGGATTTGAACTCAGGTCTTCCTAACTACAAGTCCCACACTTTAATCCCCTGAGGTACAAACAGATTATGAGAGAGATGATTAAAGAGGAGAGATTATGTTCAGTTAGAGGAGCATGGAAGATCACTCAGGAAAGAGTTTCGAGCACTTCCTACGTACCAGGTGCTGGGCTGAGCACCAAGGCAGCAAAGATAAAAGAGAAACAACCCCTACCCTCGAGGAGTATAGTGGAGGAGACAATATGTATAGACGAGTTGTAGCAAGAAAGAATCATTAATTGATTCATATAGAAAGTGACATTTGAGTTGACTCTTAAAGGAAGCCGCAGATCACCAAAGTTAGAGGTGGTAAGTACTCCAGGAAGAATAATGTGTGGGAAGAGCTTTCAGTGCCAAATGGAGAAGTTGATGTTTGGTCTTAGAGACCATAGGAAACTGCTGGAGTTTATCAGGCAAGGGGATGACATTAAGATCTGTGCTTTAGGAGAATAGCTAGAGGATGGGTGGAAGGGCCTCGAGATGCTGTTGTAATAGTCCAGAAATAGGGGGGTGACTGTGTGAGAAATAGGGAGGGGGGGATCAGGGAGATTTGTCAGCTAATTGCATATGTGGAAAAAAGTGAAGATCATACCAAGACTGGATAACTAGAAGGATATAATAACAAGTTCTAGTTTCAGTGTTTGGAGTCTGAGATGCCTCTGTAGTGTCCAGGTGGATACGTCCAGTAGACAATCTGTGACGTAGGAGTTATCTAAATAGAGATGGTAATTTGATCCCCTGAGATCACCTAAGTGAGTGTGGAGAGGAGAGGGCCCAGGACACCCTTGGGGTACACCCTCAGAGAGGGACATAGATGATGAATGACCAAAGAAGACTAAGGAAGGGATTAAGTGCTTTTAGAAGCAGGCAAGAGCAATGTCAGGAAAACACAGAGAAGAAAGTATCAGGGAGGAGGTGCTGGGTCTGCAGTGTCAAATGCTGCAGAAAAGTCAGGATGAGGATCAAGAAGAGGTCATTAGATTTTTGGTAAAAGTAACTGAGTTAAAAGGTCACAGAAGTGGGGCAGCTAGGTGGTACAGTGGATAGAGCACTGGCCCTGGATTCAGGAGGACCTGAGTTCAAATCCAGCCTCAGACACATAACACTTATTAGCTGTGTGACCCTGGGCAAGTCACTTAACCCCCATTGCCCAAAAAAAAAAAAAGGTCACAGACCAGATTTTGGGAAGCTTAGAAGAGAGAGGGGGAAGCATTGAGTAGTTGACTTTTCAAGGATTTTGGTTGAAAAAGGGAGGGATGTAAAACAATAACTCAGATGGTGGGATCTGGGGAAGATTATTTTAAGGACAGGAGACTCAAAATTATCTGTAGGCAGCAGGGGGTATATAGGGAGATATTGAAGTTTGTAGAAGAGGAGACAAGGGGGGGTAGGGAAATCGGAAATGAGGGTTGGGACTACACAGTAAAAAGGAAAAGATGTGTGATGGAGAGGAGAGGGAGTTCTTTGCAAATAGTCTTTTTGCTTCCAAGCCCAGTGCCCTATACACTGAGCCACCCAATCACCTTCCTGATGTCACTGGACCTCTGGGAGAACAAAGGACAAACAACAATGTAGCTGCCTCCTCAGTAAAAATTAGTGTTACTCAATGATGTGATGGAGAGCCCCTAGAGGCCAGGCCCAGGAACCACATCAGAGTCAACCATCACAGACAACCCCAGGATCATGGTACTTTTTCTTCTCTCCTTTTTTAGTTTCTGACTTGGATGTCAGATTCCCTGGGGCCTGAATGCGCATGTGGATAAATTTTGTGGAACATACATAAGGGGAGCTGAGGGGGAGCATGGAGGGGAGGAAGGAGGCACCAATGCAAGGGTGTGACGGAGAAAGAAGTAAGAAGAGTCAGGAACAGGGCCAGAGAGTAATGAAGGAGTGAATGTGGCTGGCCTGGGGACCCTTCCCTAAAATGGTTGTTCTGAGAGGAAATGACCAATCGGAGAAAGGGGCCTCACATACTATTTTGAATTTAAGTTGTTTATGCATATGTCTCATCACCCTACTATATAATAATAACTTCCATTGATATAGTGCTTTAAAGTTTTCAAAGTACTTTACAAACATCCCATTTGATCTTCACAATAACCCTATAACATGTGGTTCCTGTCCAAGGACCACTGCCAGCTTTATGAATAAGCAGCATAGATGCCTATATGGTGCAATGAGTCCTCAGAGGCCCTCTCCCCAAGTCAGGAACACACCAATAGTCCCGGGACAGCTGTTGAGCAGGTTTGACTAGGCGAAAGGTATCAAGAGAGTTACAAGCAAGAATATTGCCTTGGCCACCATAAGGATCAATGAAGAGCCCCAGGCAACCAAGAGGCATCTTAACAGCTCTGTGCAACTGTGAAAGGTTGTAAGATAAGAGAGAAATCAACATCAAGGGATAGGACTGAAAGGACACAGGAGACATACTCAAGGACTTTACTCAAGGTGGACCCTGCCAGGCACTATACTTCTGTGAGCACCAAAACCAGCTAAAAGATCAGGTCCCCTAGTCTTAATCTAAATCTATCTACTAAGATTGAAATAGTAACTCTATGAGCCGCAGATATATAAGCTGTGCTTGCTAAATAGAGTGTGGGAAAATCCACCCCTTTCAACACTTATCCAATCTTACCTGCCACCAGTTCCCTGTACAACCATTGTTCCAGCCAGACTGGTCTATAGTCATGCTGCCATTATAATCATTTTAGTCATTTGACCCTTGACATTGACCAGTCTTGTCCTCTCCTGTTGCATTATCATGGCATTTTAAAGTGTATTCCTGTTTATCCAAAACTCTACCTGGCTACAAAGACTTCAGGATTGGAATTTGAAAAGACCTGGGAACTCTGATCAACACAATGACCACCACATTTTCAAAGGACTCATGATACAACATGCTATCAAGCTCCAGATAAAACTGACAGACTCAGAGTATACACTGAACATATTTTCTTTCTTCCTTTTTTTTGGGGGGAGAGGGGACATGACTAATAAAGGTATTTGTTTGGCTTGTCTATATTTATTAGAGGTTTTGGTTTTCTTACCTGCTTTCTTATGGGTAAGAGAAGGAGAGGTAGAAAATTCAGCCCTGAAAATAAAATAAAATTGAATTTTAAAAAATAAAGAAAGGCTTCGAGTTTGGGGCAGATATAGTTAGTCATAACACAACCATCCCAGCAGAGTACAGAGGCTCACCAGAGGGCAGATCTTGGATATTTTGGGGCCACAGCAAGTCATTAAATTATCTACCAAGGAAGATGTAATCTATGATTTTTGGAGGGAGTTACCCACAGAGGAAATGTCCAGGTCCTTAAAGTATTATCTTTTTCTTTTTTACATTTATATCTTATCTCCATAAACAGACCATAGTGTCCCTGAAGGTAGGTATTGGGTCATACATTTCTGTGTGGGATGAGATGTCCTCTTGGAGAAAGGCAGGTTTCAGTTAGTAGAAACAGTGTAAGATGAGCAGATTGAGGATGAAAGGGACTGGAACAATCTGAACTATAGCCTAGAGAGAAGATGGGGGTGGATGGGAGAGAGGGGAAGAGAATGTTCAAAGTCACACAACTTGCTTAGTATAAGTCAATAAATGCTGATGAACACTGATAGAAGAATCCATTTGGCCCAAAGGCTAAATGTGCTCATCTAACCCCAAAGATTACGGATTTCATGAAATTTTAGAAGAAAAAAAATATTTTATTGATGAGCTAGCACACATGAAGTAATAGGGCACTACAGTGTAGTCATCTTCAGTACTGCTGTGTAATTGGCTGCCACAAGTGTCCTGATAGCAGCCTTGGCTCAGTTAGTAATTTGTAACAAATTCATACACTCTCATGTGGTTGTTGTTCGGCCTTCCTCTCCAAGAGGACCAATGACATCATGAGGGTGATGTATGTAATAACGTGATCTGGTGGAGGGAGGGAAGCCCTAGCAGCAAAATCTGGGTGTAATTCCTACTTGGGCCTCTAGGGGGATCTCTAAAGTCTAATATTTAATTAGTTTCAGGTGGGGCTCCAGTCTGAGTGCCAGGCAAATGAATATAGAGAAAAGCTAGTCTTTGTCATTAATTTGATTGCCTTGTCAGTGGCTTCCTGGAGAGATGTTCAGGTCTGGGCCTTGGCAAAAGCAAAATTATGAATGCCTTCAGGGAGGCTGTGTGACACAGTGGAAAGAGCTTTGCCTCTGGAGCTGAGGAATTGACTTTAAATTCTACCTCTGATGCTTACCACTTGGGCTTTAAGCTACCTGGGCCTCTGTAAAACGAGAGTGTGGGAGTAAACAGCCTCTAAGGTCCCTTCTGGCTCTAAACCTATGATCCCATGATACCATACAAATGTCTCTCCTCTCTTCCTCACCTCAGCCAAGCTGAAGACTCCCCTTTCTAAATTTCTTCTTCCTTTGTAAGTCACAAAAGGTTTTAAAAGAAAAAAAGAAACCAACTTGCTAACCTTCCCAGTGAAGAAAAAGCAGTTCCCTCCCTCCAGCATCTCATCTTTGTGCAAGGAGACAAGGATAGCCAAGGTACAACTTTAAAGTTGCATAATTATGACATGAACA